AACCGAACAACGATTGGAAAAAGGCCCGCAAGAAAGCCCGCAAAGGCAAAACAAATATCCAAAGCTGCAGCCAAATAACAATTCAGAAGATGTATAATTCTCCTAACGATAGCAACAACAATACTAATCAGTCGTGGATGATGTACAATTCTGCTCCGCCGCACCCTCCTGTGGTGACGTGGACTAAGTACGAGGACAAGTTATTCGAGCAGGCGCTGGTTGGGTTCCCGGAGGACCTTCCCAACCGGTGGCAGAAGATCGCCGACAGGGTTCCCGGTAAAACGGCCGAAGATGTGAGGGTCCACTATGAGGCTCTGGTTCATGATGTAGGGGAGATTGAGGCCGGACGAGTTGAGCTGCCCAATTATGCTGATGAAGACGAGTTTTTCGGGTGGGGGGAGCCCCTGCAGCCGCCGCCTGAGTCGAGAACCCCTAATCAGATCTCTTTTGGGGCGTCTGGTAAAGCCAAGCATGGTGATGGCGAGCGTAAGAAAGGCACCCCCTGGACTGAGGAAGAACACAGGTATTCAATTGCTTCATTCATTTCTTTTGCTTATACACACACATTCATAAGGTGGAAATATGTCGGTGATCGGTCACCTCTGATTACCTATTATTGGTTTATGATTGCAAATTGCAAAAAAATGTTTTTTTTCAAACATCAAACAGCCAATTTTATATAAAGTTGGAGTTGTTCGGATAAATTCCATACTGGAAGGGGATTAACTTTTCATTTTAATTTTTAATTTTGCCAATAGGTTTTTTTGTTTTAAAAAATAATATCACTGCTTTTGTGAAAAGTAGGCAAATACTTATTGGTATTTATGTCGTCTCTTTCAATAGTTTGTTAGGGAGAAAGGTTAAATCTTGACGGAACAGTTTTCTGTGGTTTTTCCTTAAAGTTTAATTTTGTTGGTCGATTGAATTGTAAATTTGTTTTGAATGGAGGTTTATCAGTTTTTGGTTAAGAATTGTCTTTGGTTAATGAAAAAGAATTCATTTATTTGGGGGACATTAATCTTACACCGCATGTTTGAAAAGCATTTGGGCCTGAGAATATGGGGGAGAAATTTAAGGTCATGTCTATAAATAATTTTAGCAACGGTTTTCAATTTCATGAACTATCAGAGGGATTGCTTTTGAAAACTGCAGATTACTGTTGAAGATAATTTGTCAAAGAATTTGCTCATATCAGGAGAGACATTATGCTAACAGGTTTAATCTGTCCTGTTGTTACTTTTGGTTATTACTGTTTGTTTTGGCAAATTGCATATTCTTGGTACTAATGTCCAAGTTCCTGTCTCTATCCACCTTTGCATTGCCAATTCTGATTTGAAATGGTAAACTTTATGCCTTCCGGCAATTTCAACCCTTTCTTGGTGTATAGATAATGTTGCATTGATGTGGAAATGCGCCGATATTGTGCACGGCGTTCTACCGTCTTTGGTGATATGATGATGTTCATTTGGAAAGAATACTTCTTGTACGGACTTGAAATTGGCATCCGGCTGTTGCATATCCTAATCCTGACGCAGTCAAATAACTGCTAAGTTTATTAAGGAGAACCCGTGTGATTGTTGTTTAGAAATTTTCACTTACTAAAGTCAAACGCTTAGACTTTTCGCCCTTTTGCCTGGTCTTTTGATGTAGTGTCAATCTTTTTGCATCTTTATTTGGGCTTTTTTTTTTTTTTTTCCAAAATTTCACCTGTCAGTAATCGAACGTAATACATAGAACATGATGCAAATTGCTTTGGTTATCTACACATTCTAGTGAAATTTGATTTGTTTCTTTTGCAGGTTGTTTCTGATCGGCCTTGATAGGTATGGTAGAGGTGATTGGAGAAGCATATCAAGAAATGTGGTGGTGACGAGAACGCCCACGCAAGTAGCCAGTCATGCCCAGAAATACTACCTTCGGCAGACTTCTGGCAAGAAGGAGAGGAAGAGATCCAGTATCCATGACATAACCACTCCTTTGGAGAGCAAAACAGTTGCCCCTCCGAGCAATTTTCCTAATCAAGCAGGGTACCAAAACTTCAGCTTTCCCGAGCAAAGATGAGCAGGAGGAGCTCCATATACAATCGTTCTCTGTACATATAGTGCATGGTTGCCTAGAAATTTGACAGTCCTGACCTGTAAAGTTAAATTCTTTGATAGAGTGATAGATCAGGGTATATTTTGGCGTAGGTTTTTCTTTTTCATCCTTCTGGAAACTGATGGTTGTATATGGAGCGTTCATAGTTGGGGTTAGATATGGAGGTTTTGGCATGAAACCAATGGTAGTTGATAGCTAATGGTAGTTTGATCCTAGAACTTACCTATGCCTTTAAATTGGCGACTTGACCTGGCAATACAGGAGAAATAAATACGTTTCGTTCCTTTCACCCTTTTAAGCTAGACGAACCTTTGTTATTTCGTTAGCCCTTACTCTTTAACGAAAATCTTGAGTACATTGATTCATGCCGGAAGAAATTGAGCCAATTTGATTCGGATATTGCAATCAATGAGGAAGAAATTGAGCCAGCTGTGTTTTACTTGGCGTGTCTAACTCTCTTGTTCTTGTCCATTTACCTCGACTTTGGCTTAGAAATGCGTATCCGTTTGTGAATGGTATAATTTAATTGGATGGAGTAATGGTAGGAGGCTTTTGTCACCTGGCGGCACTCTTGGAAGACAATTGAGCGGGACAAGTAACAAGAGTAGTGCTATTCTTTGAGGATTTTATGGTTGGACTCCTTCATCTTCTATTCAGGTTTAGGCTGAGTGCCACCGGGATCAAGAAATGAGAAATCTTCTATAATATCAAAAACATGAAGACCAAAAAAAAAGAGAAGCTATCCCACCAGTTTCTCTGATTTTCATAGGAAACAAAGCAAGTTTAATTTCAAGCTATACCTCGTAAATTCATTATTATGCTTTAAAGACAAGAAAATGATGAAAACGGATATGACTAAGACGAGAATTTAAGTATGTGGCACGGGCATGTTGACTTGAGTCTTGAGGTTGAGGGGCCATTTTTATTGCCAAAATCAGTAGTGTCATTCTCACATGTGATGTGGGGCCTTTACAAAGGCAATTAAATTCTTAGACCTTGTACTGGGGATACCATGGGGGCACCCCGTTTTCCTTTCACTAGTTGCTTCAAATTAATTAAACATTCTAAAGAGTTCAGCATTAAAACGCTACTTTTTAGGTTGATCGGATTGCACATTTTACAGTCCCGTGTGAATGGTTCAGCGGTAGCGTCTTTCACCGGTGACCCTTAAGGTCCCAAGTTCGAGTCTCTGCTCCGCTGGGTTCCTCCGCACACTTATCGTGTTCGGGTCGGGTTGGGGCGCCGAACCCGACCGCAGGGAATTAGTCGGACCCCGTAAGGATTGACCCGGACATCTCTATGTCGACAAAAAAAAAAAAAGATTGCACATTTTACAAAATTTTTTCGAATGGAAAAAATATTATATCACTTTTTAAGGATGTCATGTATGTAAAGTTAAAAAAAAAAATTTTAAAAATCGAAAAAATAACAATACAAATGAGAGAATTTGGAAAAAAAAAAAGGAAAAGAATATGTGAAATTTATGCTTGGGTAGATTCGTTAATGCGTTAGCTTCTGCTTATTTTTCCGTGGGCCAAATTTTTATGTAAACCTACCAAAACTATGACGTTACATATAGAAAAAATATGTGAAGGCGTGCTGTGCCAGCTTGCATCATGAGGGAGAAACTTAAACAGTCACCTGATGTTTTTCCTTTAAATCCCATATATTCGCATTCGTTCTTGTGATTCATCTCTAGTTTGTCTACTAATAGAAAGAGAGATATTTTTGTTGGACAGAGACGTGATAAAATCACATGTGCCAATTATATGGTTTTTTTTTTTTATTGGGTACTGGAAGGTTTCGTGAGTAAATGGTCCGCTCTGTGGCTAGTATTTAGAGAAAATGCTATAACTCGTGTAATTACAGAATGCACCCTACAAAATATACGTGATTCTAATTTTGCTCCTCTTATTGTCTATTTGAACCAATTCATTCATTCCTTGATACTCGCCTCAAGGCTTATGCTGCAAGCCCATACTTGATCTTTTGGAATTGTCGCAGCATCGGTTTTGAAAGACTAGTAGCCAGAGTGTCATCACTGATGCTGGTGTTGAAAACAGTGCCAGGGATTGGAACAGTACCAGCATTTGCACTGCCAAATGCAGAAAATGCTACGGCAGATTTGTTCAAATCAGATCGAGTTGTACTGGAAATGAACAAGTCCCTTAGGAAACACAGACAAGTCACCAGTTTGAAGTGTTTGTGAGTATAGAGGCTGTTCTTAGTGTCCACAAATCCAACGTCTGACGAGCCAAGAACGAGGAACAAAAGCTCGGAGGGTTGACGGAGCCAGCAGGGAATTGCAAGACAGCGTAAGAAACACTTTGTCCATCAAGAGCGGGGAATTCCTTCAGGCTTGCTTTTGTAGCCTGAAAAGCAGGTGGAATTGCGGCCTGGAAAATATTTCGCATTCCAGTAAGTACAGGTGAAAAAGGTGCCGTTCACAGCAGCGACGTTTGGTGGACGCAAGAAATCTGACGTAATATCTGGACCCCCTGCCATGGCTCTATTCAAAATGGTTGCAGATGCAACTGCGCCAAGAAGAACAACTCATGCTTGATTGCCATCACGGGACGCAAAATGGATGTGAATAATAATTGTAAATGAAGTTAATACGTTATGATGAGACTAAATTATGCTCGGATTCTTGGTCAGGACAATGAAAATCTGCGGAGCAGGAAATACTACTATGTCCTTGTTTTCGATGATAAATGCTAAAATCTATTTTACTGTCACTTTGTGATCATTATCTTTGAATTAATGCACTTCAGAATATGCTTCTTTAATTCTCTTGTTACATACAATAGAACCCCTTACTTGCTTCGGGCCGAAGTATTGCATCTCTTTGCAGTTTCACCTTCAGGCTTCTCTAGATATTGCTTACAGTTAGATTTTATTAAATCTGCAAAATCTACTCTTTCAGCTGTACAAAATATTGAAGTGAAAAGCACTAAATAAAAAGGTGGAGGGAGCAATATTGAAATTTTATAAAGCTGATGTATTTGAGCAAAATGCTATCAACTTCACAATAAACATCAAATGTCAATTGTTAAGGTGGAGAAAGGGAATGGAAAAGCACATAGCTGGCAACTTGGCAGCGCTCAGGTGTTTGGATTTCTTAGTTCGCTACGAAATCTTGAAAACAGTCTTCTACTCAGGTAACCTAATGTTGGATATCGGTTATTTCTATGGATGGATTTTATAACAATCACCAGCCTTAATTATGATTTCTTATCTGAAGTATATTTGCGCCCGCAAACATTTTTCTGCTGCATTTGCATGGAAACTCGGGTCAGGGGGTGATAACGTGAGCATTTATGATCATAGGAACTTCGGAAAGATCGACAATGTGATGGCAGCATCTTTCTTCTTGGCGGCTTCTGTTTGTCCAAGGAAAGAGAAAGCAAAAACGTAGTGAATTCCGACACAGACTCAAGGATGAAGAAGATTGGCCAAGATATAAGTGTACGGATGGAAGATAATCCATGCAACAAGCTTGTTTGAAATGCAAATATTCTCAACTTCTAACTAAAAACACTTGCTATGCAATCATCTATGCAGAACGTTGAATTTGGTTAGGCCCTCTCCTTGACCGCTGCTAGTCTTTGCTGCCACTGCTGCCTTCACAGTCATAGCAAGCGATCCTGGTATCCTCTAAGATTTTATTGTTCCAGTGATTTCCACCCGTCAATGGCAACTTCTTCACCTACTCTGGAGTCCGTGGAGTTCTGTACCATCTTCCCACAAATTTTACTGTCACAAAAGATGGTGTAACAGAGTTCCCGGCTCAGATGGGCAAAGTGTCTCACTTGCTGTGCTCCAATTCCCCGGTGGCCGGAGATATTTTTTGTTTCCCAAGGGGCTTGTCCATTATCAGGACAACCTATTGTGTGAACCAGCCAGAGCCATTTCTGTGTTTGGATGTGCAAGTGCAGGAATTGTTTCAGTGACCAAAACCGTTTTTGCTGCTGGATTAGAAGATAGCATACTTGCGTAGGCATTTAAAAGTGATGCTGCCAAGATCAAAGCAGGCTTTTGTTGAGCACTGAAACACAAGCAAGTTTCCTTCTCACTCATTATTGCTTTAGTTGTTGAACTGTTATCAAGTCGCCTTCAGATCATATACAATACCCCTTCTTTTTCATAAACAGTTTAAAAATGAAAGTCCTCCTTCTAATAAATTTTATCCTTTGCGCAAGTCTAGCGTGCACCATTCACGTCAAGTTATTAGTCATTTGCAAGACCTGTTAAACAAGTCCGGATTTAATGTCTCAGTCTATGGGCAGATTGGGAGGCGACATCATACAATCAGGCAATAAACCTCATCAAGGATTCCAATTAACTTTAGTTAACTTCTGCCATTAGGTGAACTACAGGTTTCAATCCTCTGAATTAGAAGTTCATTCACAAGTGCTTGCTGCTGTCTTTATTAGTTTCTCTGATGCAAATATTAACTGTCTAAAAATTCAAATATTTTAAACATCCACAAACAGCGAACAGGGATAGTTGCACAGGCAATGAGTTGTTAGACCTGTAAAGCTTAGTTAACTGGCGCCTACAATCACTCATCATCCATGACAGCAGCCGGTTGGATTCCCATTAGTGTCTTAACTTCCACAATTATTTGCTTCTATACATTCAAGTCATTCCACTATGTATTTTACAACACAGCTAACCAAAGAATTAGTCATCAAATGTCAATCTGAACCATACGAACGCCTCGTGAACAATCACACAAGCACAGATGAAAATTGTACTCAGAAAAAATAACAGAAGAAAACAGTGAAATTTTTATAATCGGAAGGAAAAACAAAATCGTAACACCGGTAGTGAATTTATGAACAAGAGTTACCACACTCTACTTGAGGAAGAAACACTAGTCAAGAGTTATGACAAAGTTATTTACAACACATTTTATTTGTGGAGATGAAAAGCTTCGAGCTCAAAGTTGCACAATCAACAGAGTCCAGAAACAGTCACTTCAACTCTTGTGGGCCTGTTCTTCAGCTTTCTGAGAAAGAACAAAGATCCAAAGGAAAATCCATCAGCAACGAGAAGTTAAAAATGTAGTAAACAGTCAAATAAACTATGGTTCCAAAACTAGAGCTGCACATCAAAATGCACCACTCCATCATTCAAAATGCAAGATGGGATTCATGTTTAGACTTGAGAATTTGTTTATGCCGTTGTGGAAACTCCCCTGACCAGTGCCTTTCTCCCATAGTCAGAAATTTAAAGAACCACGTTCCAAACACCTCACCACTAATACTCATCCTCCATATGTATAACTATCCATATAACTGGCCAGCCCCATCAACTTCTGGTCTCTCCGGTTTATTACTGATCACCTGTGCTGACACTTCTGCCATTCTTCTGTACCTCAAAGTTAGGCAACATGTTTTCAGTAATTAAAATACACATACGGTAAATTAGTTCCCCTAAGGCGATAGTTTCACTAGTATTAAGACTATTCACAAGGTTTTGTCTTCTTTAGTATTTTGATGTGCAGGATCCTTTATAAGGCAAGAAAGCATAAACAGCAGCAGAACAACTACAGCACCACACAGAACACGAATCGTGAAAGAAAGTTCCCCAGCTAAATTCACAGAAGATGAGCTCAAAATCAATAACGAAAAATGGGAAAGGCAAAACCTTTTCAGACTTCTCACGTTCAGCTTTCTCCTTCTCCTTCTCCGCCTTCAGCTTCTGCTTCTCCAACCTCTCCCTCTCCCATTTCTTCATCCAGATAGCCACAAACAAAATTCATCAATAAAATTTCAATCGTCCAGAGAAAATAAGAGAAAATACCAGAAAATTTAACTAAGTAGAACAAATCGGCCAGGGCCAGAAAACCTGAATGTAGACGTTCTCCTTAGCACGCTCTTCTTCGCTGAGGACACGACCTTTATCATCGGCAAAGTAGCGAAAGGCGGAGATTGAAGACGATCGGGGAGTCCCCTCCATTAAACGACCCAGCCCACTACGTAAAACGACAGATCGCATCGCCATGGATAATGGATATCTTCTAGCTTGCTCCTGCTTTTGCTGATGTACCACACTACTCGAGTGGATGATCCAAAAGTGGAGAGTTGACTGATTCAGCAGTTAAACCCTATGCGGCTATATTTATAGGGTCCAGTTAGGTGGGGTCCAGTTTGTACCGGGTTCGGGCACTGGATAAGCCAGTATTTCTATAATCGGATACCGGTTTTGGATAAAACCAGATGAAGTTTCAGGGTTCGCTCCCGGTATTCTTTACACGTAAGCACCCGAGAATATTTAATTTCCAAATACACCCTTCGTACGAATAAGGTTGGAAAACTATAAATACCAAAAATCCTAGGGGCTATCATGAAAATCAACAAATCTTAAAATAGTTTTAGACTATTTATTTTACCGACTTTATTTCCCGTTAATCCCTTGCCTGCTTCTCAAATTGATAAGCATCTGAAGAATAGAAAGCACATATTAGAAGAAGAAGAAGAAAATGTATCATCCGTCCAGAGGTGGTGTTCGGGGTGGCCGAGATCGTAAGCCCTCCATTTCCTTTTTCCCTTTTTGTCTTCTATAATCATTTCTAGGGTTTTTCTATTTGCTACCTGTTAGTTTCCCTTTAACTTTTCGCTGAATGATATCTTATAGTATTTGGAGATTACTATTTTCTTAGTTCGTAACCCTAGTTCTGTAATTGAACAAGTCTTTTGATCTATTTTGAGTGAAAAAATTAGCTATATATTGCAGAAATTGGTTTACTTCCGTATTTAATAGAAGAACTCGTTCTTGATTTACTTGTAAACATGATTTTTGCATAAATATATTAATAAGGGACTTGTTGGTTGCAGAGTTCAGCTGGGATGATGTGAAAGTTGATAAACATCGCGAGAATTATCTGGGTCACAGTATCAAGGCCCCTGTAGGAAGATGGCAGAAAGGTATACCTCCCTGCTTCTTTTTTTTTTTAAACTTAATTCTGCGTGATATATTTGTACTTTTTAAAGTTAACGTTGTCTTATTCATAGGCAAACGTTGTGTGTGATTTAATGTTCACGTGAATTACATACCAAGAGGCAACTATCAAGTTTTGAGGTTGGAAAGCTTTTGAGATTAAATAATTCTGCAACTTTAAAATTTAAACATGACGGTTTTAAATTAGTAGGGCTGTCTTTTTGTTGAAATTCAAAGTTAAAGTGAATGGGATATCTTGATTGTTATATCAAGCTGGGAATTCGTCATTGATCAAATAGTTTGGTGTGCAATACCATTGCGAAGAACCATTGATCAATATACTGAAATGTTAATGTTCACTTTTCATTTATTTGCTGTATCTTGCTTTATAATTTTGGATTTCAGAGAAATTAATGAAGCATGCACGTATTGCATCCAAAAGTATTTACCATTCCTCTTGTAGTATTCACTGTATTGGAGTGGAAATCCCTGAGAACAAATGTCTAATTGGCAGTTTGCTTGAATTCCGTAAATACACATGATTATAATCTTTTTATTAATCAGGGGATACGCTGTGCAATGTGATCTAGACTCTTAAGAGTTTGTCCTTTTTTCCTTGACTCTGAAAGGATTTGAGCTTCAACTTTTCTATCAAAAACCCTGAAATGGTAGTCCTCTTAGCTGCAAGTGCCCCTTCCATTTAAGGGGAATATATTCTTCTTATTTTCTTTTTCCACTGTAAGATTGTAAGGAATGGAATTCTATTATTAGGATTCCATCAGCCTTTTGCTAGACATTGTTTATCATTATATGTCATGTATATATCCTGAAGATAAGTGGTTAACATGTCAACTGCCCAGACCCAATTGTCCCACTTATCCCAAAAAATAAATAAATAAATAAAAAAGAAGTAATTGCTTTTGTTACTTGCAATTTTTTGCTCTGTGAAAGTAAAAGTTGATAGTTGATTTGGCTGTTCGGCACCAAGAAATGCTGGTAATTTATAATTAATTATAATTCCATTGTCTACAGATAGCTCTTATACATGCCAGTTATCATTGGTCAAGATACTTTGTCCTTGTTGGTCTACTATGTTGGTGGTTAACAAAGTTACTGTGCTCTCTACTTAAGCAGTTCTCTTTTTTCAGAAATAAAACTGCGACCATCTATTTCATGTTGTTAGAAAGCAGGTTTTAAAGTTCATCTAAACAGTATATACAGTTTTGCTTCTTCCAATGCTAATTGTTGCTCTGAATGACTACTAAAATTTGTTGCTGGATGGTGGATTCTGTGTTCACTGACATCAATTGTCACTCATGTCAACTAATGGTCTATTAATTGCGTTCTATGTGCTAAATTTTTAAAGTAACATGCAGATTCAGTTCGCCGGTATAATCTTAATAGCTGATAGTCAATATCATACACATTAAATGCTAACATGGTTGATCATGGTTTAGCCTCTTTTTGTCCACTAAGTCCTAGTGGACCTTATAACTAACTACCAATGAAGCAGGTCTTTTTGCAGAGGTCAATTGAAGTTTCCACATAGTCAGTGCAAGCCCTTTGCCGGCTTCAAAAGTTTTTTACTAAGTTGGAAGAGGTTATCTTATGTAATATTGCTTCCTTTTGCAGGGAAAGATCTTCACTGGTACACCCGTGATAAAAATTCCGAGGCTGCAGATAAGGAAGCCATGAAAGAAGAAATACAAAGAATTAAGGAGGAAGAGGAGCAGGCCATGAGGGAGGCGTTAGGCTTGGCTCCCAAGCGCGCTACACGAGTTCAAGGCAATCGCTTAGATAAGCATGAATTTTCTGAACTTGTTAAACGAGGCTCTACTGCTGAAGATTTGGGAGCGGGGCATGCTGAAGCAGCTAGGGTCCATGGTCTTGGGTTTTCAAGGTGTGTATGGGAAACTTAAACAGTATTCTGTTAACTTAAATGGGAAAAGAAAAGGAAAAAAGGGTGAGCGATTGTGATGTATTTTTATGCTGATACGTCTCTTCTTGGTTTGCAGTCAATCTAAGTAGCCACTTTTTTTGACAGCTAAAATATCCTTTTTCTTTAAATTTTTATTTTTAGTCACGAGATAAGTGATGTTGAAGGAACCTGTAAGAAGTAACATGGGATAAGACAATTGAACCATGGTATTTGAACCTCTCTGTCAGCTTAACCTAGTGTTTTAACTTGTGTAACTGCAGAGAACCTCGTGCTTGGGAAGAGTCAAGTCTGCCAAATGGTTTGCAAGCCATACCGCTTGAGAATGTGGACGTGTCCATGCCTAGCGCCCCTACCAGGAGTGATGAAGACGACTCAGGGGATGAAAATCGCAGGAAGAAAAGGAGGCACGAAGAAAATAAACGTGAGAAGCATGACAGGCGAGGAAAACAACATTCTCATTCTCGCAATTCTGATGAGAAGAAGAAACGGAAAAAGGACAAGGAAAAGAGAAGACATGATTCTGACTAAAATGGACAGCATTTGTGTAGATGTATCATGATTTTAAATGCGTTAGCACTGATTGTCTATTCATTCGGGAAGTGGAATTTACATTCTGAATGCATCTTTTGAATTTTGTGGAATACTAAAAGCTTTAGATCTTACGTTTGGAGCTTTTGGACTTTTTTTTTTTCCCCCTTTCCTGGGTGGTGTTATGGAAGCTTTACAACCCACTATATTGAAACTAGCCCTGGAGTGGAGACTCCCCTTGCATCAGCCGCAAGCATGGACTGCAAAGGCTGTGGTGGCTTTTCAAACCTGTGATTCCAACTTATAATCTATGCTCTTTTTCTTCCAGATGGATCTGCGCAGCAGTTTCCTTCTCTCTATTTGTGGTTGGGTTTGCCCTTGCATTTCTGCTCTTTTAAGTTCTCCATGCTGGTGAAAGGACTTTTAGAGGGATTCTGCACAATGCTGCCAAGGAATTTGACTCGATGACTTTTCTGTGTCCTCCTTGCCAGGCCATTTTCATAGCATAGCACAACGCCCAAAGATCTGCCGCTGTATTGCCCGCTATCCCAGTGTACGCTGAGAAACTTCCTAACCGGCAGCCCATTTCATGCCGTATTAGCCCCCAGCTCCTGCACACCCAGCATTGTCTGCACTAAGCTGGACCCGCCCAGTCCCGAACGTATCATTTTCAACTCCTCCACAAAATTAGCTTTTGCCATCCTTCTTCAGTGAGTTCTGAGCTGGTAGAGATTGTCCAACTGCGATTTCAATTTTCTTCTTGTTGCCTCTGAATTGACGTTCATTCCTGGCTGTCCAGAGGCATGTGAGTGGTCAGTGGAAAAGTCAATTATCAATCAACTTCATCACATTTGCCAATCTGTTTACCACTCATGTTCCAATCAGTGGATCCAATCAGATCTTTCTTCAAGAAGTCTCTCCAATGATTTGGGTGCACAGTCAAGTGTTGGTAAAATTTTGGTTTGGGTTTTCCCAATCCGTCCTCGTATGTTACATGTTAGATATGTATACCAAACCAAATAAGCGGTGAGTTTATCACTAAAAATATTCCAAATACGCTTTTCAGAAAAATATACACTACGAAATAACCTGCAATGTATCTTTTATTCTACGTGTGATTTTTTTTTTTTATCAAAAATTTTATTATGCTTTGAAATATTCAAGTAGGACAATTTGGTTACAATAGAACGAAGAAGGGTTTACCTTTTACTTATGGATTGATCTTTTATATGCCGTCATATGAATTTTTTTTTTTTTTTAAAAAAAATTCTGGCCGCTTGTATAGAAAACATCTTTTTATTTTGGGTCTAGAGCAGATTAATTTTTATTTGTTACATCTTTTTATGTTATAGTTTTTCGATTAGGGCACATGATAAATACACCAAATAGAGGATAGTGATACCCTCGTGCCATGTACAATTCTGGATAGAAAAATTAGTAATCTCCCCTCTTATTAATTTATGCGCTTTTCAAAACATACAATAAAAAAATTATTTATTTTTTTTAAAAATTAATTTTATATACACTGACATATATAATTATAACAACTCTTATCAGTATGTTTATCCAGAACACATTTGAGATGGAGTAGAAATTTCTTTGGGCAGAATGTATGAAGGATCAAGGAGAATAATTAATTAGGTCACAAGGAAGATTGTTCGCTAATAACAGATTAAAATTTTTTTGGCTTTTCTTTTCTCTTTTGTTTTTAAAGTGGAGGGGTGTAACTATGTAACCTTTGTTTTTTTTTTTTTTCTTCCAAGTATGACTAATGACTGTAAAAAAGCCAAGGTGGGTGCACAGGACTATTTAAATGGGAACTAGGAGGCGAAGGAAAGAAGGAAAGGTTGCTTGGTTAGAAGCTAGGTAGCCTAAAACATTCGTCTCTCTCCTTTCCCTCTCTCCCAATAATTCTCGGAACCCAAAAAAGCAGTCCACCGTTAAAGACAAAGCGGCCTCCCTAGCTTTCTCACTTTCTCAATTGCTTCTACGGATGCCTTCCCCTTCTTTCTAGATTATTCTTAGATTATTTGGTTACTGCCACAAATATTGGTACTATTTTGCTTACCCAAAGGCATTTGTTTGAATTGTAAAAGAAAACCCTAATTTGATTGGGATTTTAATTCTGACTTGTCTATTTATTGGATCGGTTGTCGATTGGGTATTCAACCACAGAATCAGACCGGTCGAATTATTTCATTTTATAATTATAATTTTTGTTAAATTCTGTTTAGCTTTTGAGGTGGGAAAAAATGGTGTCGGCTAATAGGGAGATGGTGGTCTTCTGCTTTGATACTCTTGTGGCTCACTACAACAGCGAAGAAGCTCCTCCTCCTGCTTTCGACGAGGGTCAACAGTACGCCTCTCCTGCTCACGATATTGTGATCTTCATTTTGAGTTATATTCTTAGCTATTCAGCTTACTTATATGAGTAGGGACATATACATGATAATCTTTCCTCTTAGAATCGTAGACCTTTGCTTGTTTTGGGTGTCATTTTTTATACCTCGCTTATTTTGCCCAACTGGAAACAATGTTGGGCCTGCCCTGTTTTTGAATTATGTTTTCTTTTTATTTCTCACTACCGAATTCAGTTGGACTCCTAAACTTTCTGTTGCTTCTGATTGCATATTATGTAGGAATTTTCTGAAATTTCCTCAAGACATGAGTGCTGAGCTTTTACTCTTAGGTTTACCAATATATTTGAAGCTATGTGGCGAATATGAATTGTGGTTTATACCAGATCATATAAAATTATGCGCACTATTTTTCTTGTAGGATTAAATATTTTTTTTTTTAATTTATAACTATGGCCTGCTCTCCCTCACTGATATCGCATGCTCAACTCTCAACTTTCTTGTTTCAGCCCATTGTTTGTGACTTGGAAGAAAGTGATCAATGGTGGTGAGCCTCGTTTACGTGGTTGCATTGGTACCTTGGAAGCTCGCTGCTTAATTAATGGTTTCAAGGACTATGCTCTAACAAGGTAATTTGGAATGGCTGATCACTCACAGGAATGCCTACATGTGCTGTGACTTTCTTTTGGACCTTTGACATGAGACATGAAACCTTTCATTCGATTCTTGTGTTGCTTTGTGTTTGCGTGCTTAAAGATAAACCAATCCATAAATATTTTCAATATGGAAAGAGAACTTAAGAAGTTATTGCCTTTTATAGCCTTTGATTTCTGTGTTATCTGCAGTGCTCTCAGGGACAAACGTTTTCCCCCAATACAGGCCAAAGAATTGCCTTATTTGGAATGTACAGTTTCAATACTGACTAATTATGAAACCGCACAACATTACCTTGACTGGGAGGTCAGTTCTTTAATCTGTTAAGAAAGATTTTACATGGGAAATGTGGTGCTCTGCACGTTGATGTCTTGACCTATGTTCAGGCATATGCCAATACTTTGTGGCAGATAATATTTTTGATGCAAAAGCAGTGGAGAAGTAGATTTAGATTAGTTTATGCAGTATTCAAGAAAATCTGTCTCTCATAATGTTTCACAATCAATAATGATCTATGTTTATTTAGTGAATATGGCCAGAGGTTCTGGTAACACATGCATTAGCACCTAGTTAGCTTGAGATGATGTTAAGATCACAGTGGGGATGATAGTAGCAACTTTCAGAAAAAAGCCAGTACTGTCCATGTTATGTTATTATTTGAGGCTATATATGTATGCATTTACTTTCCCATAAATTCTCTAATTTCTTACTGGATCATGAGATATCACTAGTTGATATCTTTACTGCCTGAACAACTGATATTTTTGGGACCATTTTCCATTTGGAGATGTGATTTTCGTTTTTGTTGGGCAATATTTTATACTTTGGTATTTTATACTTGGGCAATATTTTTGGTATGTATTGAATTGTTCCAGATTTTTGATCCAACTGAGGCCGACAACATTTAAAGGAGGGATTTGAGTCACTCTAGGCTTGATTAGAGTGCTTTTATGTACCAATGGTTCTCATTCTGTGCCATGAATAAGGTTCTTGATTCTGGATCTGAAATCCTGGTCTAGATTCCTATATAGGATTCGCTGCATTTAGGTTCTTCTCCCTTTTCTTGTCTTTAGGTAAAATTAGGCTTATGTGATTACTATCTCAAGAATTTAATTCGTTCTTGAAGGTTGGGAAGCATGGTATAATCATTGAATTCACTGATCCTGACTACAATACTAGGCGAAGTGCCACTTACCTGCCTGAGGTGGCTGCTCATGAAGGTGATTCTTGTTGCATTCCTTTTGGTTTCTCAGTTTGAGTCCTTTGTAAGCCTTGACCACTGAGTAGCGACAACCTTATATCATTTTTTATTTTCTAAAGCTGAACATTTTCCCTTTCATTCTTCTCTGGGCATCTTTGGTTTCAATTTCTTATTTTCCTTGCTTTTTCAAAGGTACAACATAATGACATGATACCATACCAATAAAGAATAGTGTTCAGTTAGGTTTTCTTGACTTTTTAACTCTTCTTTCCCAGCCCCACTGCAATAGTGAAAAACAAACAAAAAAATGTGTTTTATTTTTTTGTCAAAAAAAAGTGTTTTATTTAGTTCATTTTGTTGATGTTCCACCTGTGTACTTCTCAGGTGGGATAATTTTCCCTTTTCTTTTCTTCAATTTTTTTGAGTTTCAACTTGATAGCTTTCACTGAGACTACCACAGTCTGAGTACAGAGAAGAAGCTGTGCATTCGCATTCAATTATTGAGTCATCCTGGAGGCAAGCCTTATCAGTTATTGCCAAGGCTACGCCTAAATGCTTTGAGTTAGACTGGGATTCTGATTTTCACAAATGGACCGGTATTACTAGTATATGTGGTTGTGTCATGGAACTGTTCAGAAGGAGATCTTTTTGGCTATGAAGTTTATGCTCCACATCTGTATGGGCATATTACATGATCCCCCTAGACCTTTTTGCATCATAAGCTCCATCTAAGCATGCGGTAGTCAATGGGTGTGTTTGGAATTAACACTTTTTGTGATGTGTGATGTATGTGAGATAATAAGGTGGTAGGAAATTGTGTTTATGATGCAAGCTAAATAATACTTGGAATTTTTTTTATTTATTTGTAAATTATGCTAACCAAACGGACCACATATTTTTTTGCTAATTTGAAGTTATGATTGTTCAACTAAAGTTGCTACTGTTGGTTTTAATTCTCAGGTTGGACAAAGACAGAAGCAATTGATTCACTGATTCGAAAAGCGGGATACAATGGCTCCATAACTGAATCACTGCGAAAGCGCATCCGACTTACCCGCTATCAGAGTACATTATTCACTATGCACTTCAGTGATTATGTTACTTATGTCAAGACAACCCGAGGCTCTGCTCCTGCTATCAATGGGGTAAAATCAGGCTATTTCTGATTGTGTGGTTGTACCTAAAATTTAGACTACAAATAGCATTTGGTCGATCTGGGGTGGTACCTTGTCCCCAAAAGAATCGTCTGCTTGGTTGGGGCAAATTTGTTGTCGTTCCAACCCGCTGCAGCCATTGTTGCAAGTCGTAATTTGTCCAAATAATTCTTCAAATTCATTTGATTTTGAAGAATGAACACCAATAACTCCATTTGGATTTCATTAGGCCGTGCTCAATCCACAAGATTTCCAAAAGCTTGTGGTGAAATGGCTCCTGTTTATGAACTCAGCTGTCTGTAACAAAGGTATCCGATTTCAAATCTCTGTTTTGCTGTGTTCATGGTTTTATGCTTGCTTTCATTTGCGTTGCATTGCACGACATTGTGAACCGCATGAGATTCCTCTTGGAATCCGCTTCCGCTTGTACCTGCGAGGACTTTTGTAAAGGAAAATTTTGCTGAAATTCCGTGTCGGTGTTGAATTACTTGTGCCAAAATTCTACCATCGAGGTGGAATATTGTGCCCAAGAAGTTCCAGTTCACGACAGAGACTGGTACATTAGTGTTGTGCAGAGGCAGTGACGAACCGGACGAGGGGAACCGTCTCAGGCAGTTCACGGCCTAGATGAGGTCTCAAAAATTTGTGCGGCTCAAATCACGTCTTGTAATTAAATTTTCACGCTGTGTGGGACCCACAAAAATGTTGTTCTAATGTTACTCGCTGTTGTTCTATTGTTACACCTTGTACAGATGATGTTACACCATATACACATGATCTTACACCTTCTGGAGTGATTGTTCTGACAACCTAGGGGTGCAAACGAATCGAGCCGCTCGCGAGCGGCTCGATTCGAGCTCGAGCTGCTCGAGCTCGAGCTCAAAACATTAAGCTCGTTAGCTCGCGAGCCGGCTCGCGAGCTCGAGTATATATATATTTATTTTTTTTATTTTTATTTTTAATAGTAAAATTACATAAATATCCTTAATATTTTATTATTTATTAAGAAAAAATATTATTTTATTAATTTTTTTAAAAATAAAATAATTATTTTTTATTTTTTTCGAGCTCGAACTCGAGCTCGAGCTCGAGCTTGAAAATTACCAGCTCGTCGAGCTCGAGCTCGAGTTCGAGTTCGATGAAATTAAGTTAAGACTCGACTCGATAAGGCCAAAACTCGACTCGGCTCGACTCGTTTGCACCCCTATGACAACCGCTCCAGCCCCGCGTCCGTGACGAGCCACCCTTCATGTCGGTTTTGCTTAACTGGAGTAAAATAGGTCCCACAATGCTTAATTCACCCTTCTTTCTTTGAAGTTTTTTACTTTTAAACCAATATTTTGCCCGTTCTGATTTTTTTTTTAAATTATTGTAAATTTACTTTTTATTATTAATGATCTTACATGTTCATTCATATTAATTTTAGAAAATTGATGTATTTTAATTATTTAGCCATCACACTTATTTTTAAAACTTCTTCTTTATATAATTTTATTATAATATAGTAGTATTCATAAAAAATTGTAACGCATGTTAAAAAATCAGTAGATATTTTTTTCTGAGATATTCTTTTAGATAATTAAGGGTTTGTTTGGAAGGTCAGTTTTTTGCCTAGTTTTTCTTGTACAAAATTTTGAACAACTTTAACTATATTAAATGTAAAAAAACTCCCAAAGTTTTTAAAATACACACCTCAGATATCCAACACAAAAAAATTTTTCCCTTCTTTCTTCTTCTTCCACACACCTCAGTTTACCACCACCTCCATCCGTCAATTGCTACCAATTGCCACCTCTTCCCCCTCTCCACTCCCTCTCTACCTTCCCCTTTTCCTTGCCGCCCCCTTTCCCCTCCTCAGAACTCTCCCTTTCCCCTTCTCTTGGTGGTCGCAGGACCAGAGCCTTGACCAGCTCTAGTTGGATTTGGTTGGATTTGATCGCGCGACCAGAGGTAATAAGAGGAGGGGCAAGAGAGGGGAAAGGGAGATGAGAGGAGAGAAGGAGGAGGAGGAGGAGATGAGGAGGGAGGGAGGAAGGAAAAGGAAAAAAAAGGTAGGAGAGAGGTTTCGACTTCAACTACTGGTGCTGACTAAGGGAATATGGTGGTGGCAGTAGAAAAGGAGGAAGGAGGGGAAAGGGAGGGAGGAAGGAGAAAGGAACAAAGAAAAGAAAAAAGAGAAAGAAAAAAAAGGAAAAAGAAAATTTGTCTCCCTAGCTCTCATATATACAAAAATTTGTAAGAGAGAATAAAGTTTTATACAAAAATCCAAAAAATATATCTTCCAAGTAGACCCTAAAATTCTTTTGATAATCATAAACTTTATACAAACATCTAAAAACATACCTTTCAAGCAGATCTTAAAATTCTTTTGATAACCATAAACTTAGAACCACATATTCTTTTAATTAAGTACAAAAGATCTAACAATTTATTTTCTTCATTAATGAATGTTTATTAGTTTTTAGTAACATTGATAAATTTATCTGTGTAAAAATTAAAGTTTTTCTTCTATACTGAGTTAATCCATATGGATTAAAAAAATTATATGAATTTAGCAAAAAGATGGAATTGCTGGAAGAGAGAGGAACCATAAGAACCAATAAATTTAATTTATTGAAAAATAAAATTGTCAGAAGAGAAGGACACTGTACAAAAATTTATTATAAAAGAGTTAGATACAAATATAATAAAAAAAAAACTCAAAAGTACCCAGATAACCGTTAATAACAGCCAGAGAGAATAATCTTTTGCTTGGAGAGAAAAAGTGAAGGGGGTTAAAAGTGCTGCTGCTGTATACAACTTGTTTCATGTATTGTTTCAATGCAAACATCTCTTGCTTTGGGAGAATAGAAAATCCAGAAGTTGCTAAGTAGAGCAGCGAAACTCGTAGTCTGGCAAAAGCGCGAAGTAGTCAACCCCTCCGCTTCCTCCGTTTATCACCAACTTTTCTTGATCAGAAAAAAGGAGGAAAACGTGATCAAGTCGTAATTAGTTAAAAGCTAATTAAGCAAACCTCCTGACACCTGACTCCGTGGCCCCAGTGCCATTTATTTCTTTCTTTGGACATCAAATTAATCTCAAATCGGTTTTCCGGAGCAAAGGAAAAACCAACAGGGCGAGGTCTCTCTGGAGTCTGGAGTCGTGACTGTGCGTGCTGACGAAGTAAGCAAAACAAATCTCAACTCTTCCAAATTTGAATTGTATCTTTGTCTCTCAGCTTGATCACTAGCGCTTTCCTCCCAATTATTTCTCTCTCTGTTTTTTTGCCCCTTCTTCATTACTTATTATTAATATGTAAATGATTTCGCATTGATTTCGATAGATTGGAGCATTTCTTTTGCCTTTCGCGTTTACTGTCGTAAGGTACTGGTAGATCGAGCTTTCAATCGGAAAATATTGCGGGTGCTCTAATTGCCAAACGAATTCTGATGTTACCGACAAAATTTGCTTCTTCAATTTTGGAAAGAACGCAGTTTTTTATTTTTCTTAAAGCGTTACGGTTTCTATCTTGTTCGACTTGAGAGTGTGGCTGAGGTTTTTGTGCTGTGGATTTTGCTGATCTCTTTCTCAAATTCGAACAATTTGGAATTGGTAATTTTGGTTTACTGCTTCGCGTTTTGCTTTTGATTTCTCATTTGTGCTCTAATTCAGCAAGCTAGGGTTTTATTTCCCGTACCCGTGATAAAGTCTGTTTTAAGCTGTTTGCCGGATATTTCTTTGTAACAGGATAGTTGCGGTGTAACAGCATACGTTTTCCTGGTCCAATTGATTTTGTTCCGCATGATTTCCGTTCATCTGTCTAAATTTCTGTGACCATAATTTGCTAATTGAAACTGATGGATTGGTCTTCATTTCATATCTAATTTTTTTTTAAGTTTTAGTTGTTGAATTGAAGGGTATTTGGCACTGGCTGGAAACATATTTTTGGTGCTTTGAATAGCTTAATTCAGAAATGAGTCAAAAGGGGTTGATTTACAGCTTTGTCGCCAAAGGAACAGTTGTTCTTGCAGAGCACACACCCTACTCTGGCAACTTCAGTACCATAGCTGTCCAATGCTTACAGAAGCTGCCATCAAATAGCAGCAAGTATACATACTCGTGTGATGGCCACACCTTCAACTTCCTCCTTGACACTGGATTTGGTATTGGCCCTTTTACGTTCTTACTGACACAAAGAAGTTTGTTTATTTTTAGTTATAAATAAGTCTCATAATGAGCAAATGTATTTTTGAACCTGTAGTTTTTCTTGTTGTGGCGGATGAATCAATGGGGAGGAGTGTACCTTTTGTGTTTCTTGAGAGAGTGAAGGACGATTTTAAAAAGCAGTACGGTGCCAGTATCAAGACTGATGGGTCTCATCCACTTGCTGATGATGACGATGATGATGATTTGTTCCAGGACCGTTTTAGCATTGCATACAATCTTGATCGGGAATTTGGGTATGTTGCTTATGTTCTGGCATATTTCTAATTAACCTTTCCAAACCTAGTGCACTCTTTTCTGTCCTGATGGCAATTATTACTTTATATACAGTTCCCTAAATTTCTTAGTGTTGTGTTCCTTGTTGTAGACCAAGGCTTAAAGAGCATATGCAGTATTGTATGAACCATCCTGATGAGATGAGTAAGCTGTCCAAACTGAAGGCTCAGATTACAGAAGTCAAAGGCATAATGATGGACAATATTGAGAAGGTAAGTGCTTCTTTTTCTGACAGGCAAACTAACTTACAGATGCTTCTATTGGGGCATAGAAAGAAAATATCTGAACAAGTTATAAATTCTTTTCTGTGTCTATGTCCCTAACTCCCCTCCTCCACCTTATTTCATCATCCCTTTGTATAATTTAGGCTGGTTTCTTGTACACAAGATCACGGTAAAGAGTTGAAGATTGAAGTGCGCTCTTGAGATCAGAAAGAAAGTTTTCTTTTTTAATTTGACAAATCACTTTTTGGATTTTGCAGCAAGGAAAGAATAAGGGTTTTCTCCTCCGTTCTTGAATAAGTTATAGTCTTAGTTGTGTTGGGTTGAACTGGGAATGTGGATAACAGGGAGACAGACTCATCATGTTCTGGGGTTTTGGTTACCTTTGGCACTTAGTCAAGCAAAATAAAGTGTTTTGCATGAGGAAATGTGCACCTTGTGGTTAAGAAACTATAATCTTGAATTTGATTTTTTGTTACTTGTTAGAACTTAGGGACTTCTGGGTAATTTTCAGATCCAAGGAGGTTTGACTTGAAATTTGAATGAGTACCATTGGAAAAGAAATTTTCTCATCTGAGACATGACTGAAGGATCTAGAGCTTGGGGGTTAAATTGATTTAGTATGAAATGCCAGAATTTTGACGTGGTTCCCGAATTTTCAATTGAGATGCTTTAACATTTAATGTTTGGCGAGGTTTTGCTCTCGTACTTAAACACATGATCACATGTTATTGGTGTGGCTATCATGAAGTAAAGCAAACTAGTTGGTTTCTCCAAAATAGTTGAGCAACATAATTGTTTAGGCGTAAGAAGGGGAGAAAGTTAAACTAGTAGCTTCGTTTTATATATGCAAGAAATTATCTCTGTAGACTGTTATGTCCTTGTTTTAAGATAATCTTCCCACCTACTTATATGCTCCGAAACCTGTGGAGGTTTTCACTTGAGCAATTTTATTTGAGGTATCTAATAGGGCCTGTGGGTGACGAGATGTAGTGGGCTAGAAGTAGGAACATTCTTCAATCCCCTCCTTTTAACCCGAGAAGGTAGGAAGTTGAATTATGGAGAATAGGAAGTTAAATTCCTTTTGTTCCCTTTGGTTAGGGGAGCGGCCTTTTATTGTGCGGTTGTGGAAATATAGACTATTCTTGATTCATTTTTGTCGGAGGTTGCCTTCTAGCTGTGGATATTTACTCTTTTCCTCTTCAGTGGTGAAGAAGTGTTGGTAGTAGATGACTTTTGTGGTTAGAGGCAAGGGCATAAATCATTGGATGCAGCCAGGAATGATTCATTAGATATCATTGAAAGTTTGATCTTCCTCAATGTGCTTGACTTGGGTGATTAAGATTGGAAAACAGTATATCAGTCAGCTTATTGATCTTTGTTGGGTTGGTAGAAAACTCCCTGTTTACTCTTTGGATGTCTAAAGCTCTTACTACTCTCTTTTTGCCATTTGAGGCCTAGTTATAAAAAATTATTAACGAAAAGTTTGTTTGTTGGTGAGTTATGTTCTTGTGGATAAAACTGGTAAAACCAACATCTTCATATTATCTTCCTTGAAGCGTTTGTATCTCAGATCCATCATTAGTCAGAATTTTGTTTTAGTGCTTGATTCTGATTATGGTTGGGCGGTTTGGAGAAGTAGGTCTTAATTCTGCTATTCTAAGTTTTGGCTGGCTTTGGATGAGCCAAGAGACATTTCTTAAATACCAGTCCTTGTGGTGTTATAATGTCTAAGAATTAACATATAGATACTTTCCTGTTTTGAGTGGAGACTTGGGTAAATAGGATGCTGACATTTCAGTATCTTTGTGTCCATCTGTTGCCTTTTATATGCCTGAGTGTTTGAATTAGAGATTTCTTAAGTGCTTTGTAATTACAGTTGTCCCTCCCTTCCCTGCCTCCCCCCCCCCTCCTTCTCCTTCTCTCTCTGTAGGACAGTAATGGCACTGGAGATGGTAACTGTTGGTTTTATTGTCAGCTAGTATGACCTTGGATTGAGTTTGAACTGCAACTTTTTCCAGCATGCTGACATATTTAGAGTGTCTTAGAGCAAGTAATCTCTTTAAACGCTTGTCGTTAATTGTTGTACTGGTTCTTCAGCACTACAGTTTCTCAGCAAGACTGTCAATCAATTAAGCTAAGTTTGGGGAATAGAATATTTTAGGAACTTATAAATAGTTTCCACTTGAAGACTAAACTTTTATGAGATTTTAGCAGACTAGATTCACTTTAGAGCAATTTGCAAATTTTTCGTTTATGACCAATCTTTGTGTTTTCATTTATCATGTTCACTTTCTTTCTCACACACCTCAGTCCCCATCATCCTCCTAACACTCCAAACATCCTAGTGTGGTCTTAGAATTTATTGTAAAATGAGTTGGAAAAATTTGAATGTTGCTTTCCTACAATATAATATCATCGGGTCAGATTTTGAATATCTGATGTAAAAGGCTAATTTTCTGGAAAATAATGCTTGTGCTGATCCAAAACCTTTTGTTCTCGAGTTACAGGTTTTGGATCGAGGTGAGAAGATCGAGTTACTTGTGGATAAAAGTGAAAACCTTCAGTTCCAGGTAACCACCTTATTTTTTTTGATGTAGGTGGCATGCAACCTCCGGAACCTTTGGAGTTTCAGGCTAATCTGTTTTCTGTTAATTGAAATCTGTTCAGGCTGACACCTTCCAGAGGCAAGGGAGGCAACTTCGTCGGAAGATGTGGCTTCAAAACCTTCAAATGAAGTTGATGGTTGGAGGTGCTATTCTTGTTCTGATCATCATCTTCTGGCTCATAGCATGTGGAGGTTTTAAATGTTGATTGTTGATCGCTTTTTGTGGAGGGTATAACATTTGGCTTGAAAACATATTGTTATCTGTCCTTTGTAATGTACAAAGTGTTGGTACTCTGCTGTATATTCAACCGCTGATGGAATATTACACTCCTGTTTACTTATCTAATATATATGCTAAGCTACTGGTAGCTTTATTTTTAGCTTGAAAGGATGGGAATCAAGTCCGGAGATGTGAGATATTGGTGATTTAAATGCTCAACTGACTAACGCTTTATATGCAGTGAAGGATGATGCATTAATGGTCAACAATATGCAAATCCTACTTGTAAAGTACTTATTATTTTTATTATTTTTTTGGGCTTAAAGAGTAAATTGCTTGCAACAGACGAGAGCAATGGGCGGCTCAAGTGGGGTTGAAGTACTTTGTCCATTGCAATATGCAAGTACTGCCATTCGCTGCATCCGCATCCCTTATAATAGAGGTGAAGACAATTCAATCCAATGAGTGGAAAAAAAAAAAAAAAAATTTACTTGTAACAGTTTATGATATTGCACCCTCTGATAACTTTGAAAATTTTCACTTGGGTAAATTAATAAATCCTCGCGGTAAACGATTTAGTGCACTAAGATTGCAATTGAAAAACATACGCTTCTTAGTATTGATGTAATACATTCCTGAGAAGAAAGTTTTGAAGTTTTGTCACAATTTTACTGTAGATCTTGTCCTTATTTTTTTCCCCCTTATTTCGAATATTCAAAGCATAGATGTGGTGATCCTATATTCTTTGATGAAAATTATGTGTAATGATTGGTTAATATAATATACTCTTTCCAGCATTGAGCGTAACTTCTTTGCAAATTTGCTTTAAATAAACCTTCAAATCATTGTGCAAAGCGTATGCACACACACTCTCATACACTCATATTAAATACTCCCTGTTTGGGTAATCTTAGCATTTATGAAACATTAGGACGTACCTTTTGAGCTATATATTGGTCGCTTTCTATTTTTAAATTTTCAAACCTTTACTAGAAGGGACCTGTCTTAACACTACGAGGGGAAAAAGCCACGCTGTGAAAATAAGAATATTATATAAGCTCCTAATTAAGATGCATTAAATTTTCTAATTACCTATTTCATTTTTAATGATATCAACTTGACAACAATATAAGGAGAATTAAAGCCAGTGTCAATCTTCGATGTGGCTATTTTAAAACAATGGAAAATGACCTTTCAGATGGCTATTTTCATATTTCATGTAATTATCTCTGTTAAAATATGGAGTGAATCAAATCATATTTAATAAGTTTTGTATCTCATTTTGATTTAATGATCTAAAGTCGAAACCAACAGGGAAAACATTAGCACTTCGTCATGCATTAAGCGCGATAAACTGAGTTAACCGTTTAAGTATCTAAACGACCGATAACTAAATTAACGATTCAACTTCTCTTAACGGTAATTAACTAAATTAACCGCTTAATATCTAAAAACCATTGCTGTCTAATCAAATCAAATTCTAGCTCAATGACAATAAAAATGATTAGCAGTGATGTAAGATGTCTTGAAAATTTTTTCATTTAAGAATTTTGTTAATGTGTATATTAATGCCAACTTTTTTATTCTAATTTTAATCAAGAAGTTCTTCTTCTACTCTTTTTTTTAATTAATCTTTTATATACTGATAGAGTAAACACCGTTATCACTAGATGCATGATAATTCATTTGAATTTAAATTGAAATTTCAAATTTTGCTCTGTCATGCATCTAACGGTCATATATATATAAGATTTACTCTCTCTTTTTATTTTTATTTTTTGGTTAAAGGGAAGAAATTGCTGTTGTACCATTTCAAGTTTGCTCCCTCCTTAACTAGAGAAGGTAATTAATTATTATCTATATGTGTTGTCACCTCTGGTAATGACTGTAAATGAGAATATGCATGGTTAATTTGAGAGCTCATAGGAATGGTTAATCTAAGGGCGACCAATTAGTTGACTTCCTAATATTTGGACCGAAAAAGTTTCATCTGCATTATGGAATTCTAATAAAAAGAACACAATCTATAGGAGAAATCCTTCGATCCCTATTGAGATTTGGATGAATTTTTTTTTTCTTCTTAACAACTGAAGCATCACAGGGAGATTTGGATGATATGGTGAAGCATTCTTGTATAATACATGAACCCAAAGCAAGCACATGATCGAAATTAAAATTCAAATAAATTCTGCAGATGACAAATTAATTACACCACATGGTGCCTTGAACTGGCACACTTTAATCTAATGACCAACAAACACTGTTCATCTCAGTGTTTTCAGCAACAGAGAATTAAGACATATTATTAGAAATCTAGATTGCTATATATGGTCATCAGCTTTATTCATCGTCATTACCAGCAGCCTCCGTTGCCTTCTCATCTTCTTCTGGACCTCGGACAAACTTCATCCTCAAGCGTCCATTCTCCCTTGAAGCAGCCATGACACCCCGGGGATCAATCTTTATCTCTTCCCCAGCAGATGCATTAGCTTTCTCATCAAACCTCTTGTAAGTAAAAGGTTTACCATATGTAGCCATTCTTAGGGTAGAGATAGGAGGGGGAAATCGCTTTTCAGAGTAGTTATACATGCACGAATCATTTTTGAAATAATTCTTCGTCTTAACAGGACTCTTCAATTTGTTCTGACGATTAACATCATCATCCTTGGAACCCTCACTCGCGCTTTCCTTGGATGAAACTTTTGGCAAAGGCAAAGGTGGTGAGAACTTGAGGTCACCAATGGACGTTGGGGTCTTGCTTTCTCTAAAATAGAGCTCCCCGAACATCTCAAAGACGGGAGGGAATTCTTGATCAGATTCCACTGTGGACGGTTTTGGTGGTTGGTCTTTGAGGAGGTCGCTAAGGCTTGTGTACTTGTGTTCCGCCATTTCTTGGAGTTCAAAGTTGTAAGGAGCAAGAAATGGGCTGTTTGAGACAAGAGAAGAGGAGAGTTGGGGAGTGTATATATAGAGGTGAGATGTTCGGTATGCGGGATTGGGACTTGTCCCGTGCGTATGAAATGAGATATCTTTTGTGTACTACTTTTTCGAACATACCATAAAAATTTTTTTGGTCAGTAATTTATCGTTTCAAACCTGTACATATTCAAATTTATTTCTTAAAGATTTATTTTTGACATTTGGCGTGAATTGACTGGGGGGGGGTGCAAGAACCGTTTTCAGAACTCCTCTTTTTTTCCCGCTTGGGTTTCCTTAGATTTTCTGAGGTGAAAGCTTTACGTATTGGTTTAAATCAGGGAGGGTTATAGTGGATTAATCCGCTTGAAACTTAAAATTATATGACTAAGTTATGCTTTTGAGAAGTTATATCATATGCCTCCCAGCTTATTGGCAGTGGCAATGAACAGTATAGAGTTGATTTTATTGCACACAAACCCTCCATAGAGCAAATTAGCGATTTTATCGACAACAGGAGACTACAGTCGACATGCATATGCTTAAGAAAATGTATGCCAATTGTCCTTGCCATAACCATGATGATGATGATGATGCAAATAGATAACGTTCCACGCCTCTTTTAATCACTGACAGTGCAAAGGAAAATCTCCTTGGTATAACGTCCACTTATCTCCTTGTGTAATTTTCATACCCAATTTTATCATGTGTTCTTTAACAACAAAAAATCTTTTTTCAAAAAAGAACAAAAAAAAATTGGCTTTAGCTATATAAAAACTTTTGTGGGAGTCTGCTGTACAATTGTTCGTCTAAATCTACAATTGACAAACTGATGCTAGCTATTGGTAGTCGGTACTGTAAAAGGGGTTTATTTTAGATAACTTTGTAGTTTATTTTAGTGTGTATGCGGGGAGCCTAGTCAAAATTTGTTACGCACTACAAAAATAAGTTTACGAGATAAAAGGTATGTTTAGGTAAAACTTGAATAACAATTACTATAATCAACCATTAGCAAATGACCGTAAAAATTTTTAAATTTTGTAATGCCCTCTTAAAGCTCGGATTACCGTCTACTCTCCCGTTGCTTTTGGCTTTTTCGCTTTCTTTCGTTTAGAATGACGCAGGTTTTTGTCTTAATAAGGGAGAGCATCTTAGAGTTCTTGTACCTAAGATCGGAAGTTCAAATCCGATCATGTGCATTAAGCGGGTGCATTCAAATTCCACCTTGTGCATTAAGTGAGAGTGTAATACTTGTACCTAAGATTGAAAGTCCAAATCGCGGGAGTGTAGTACTTGTAACTAAGATCGAAAGTTCAAATTCTATCTTGCGCATTAAGCGAGAGCGTTCAAATCCCATCTTGTGCGTTAAGTGGGAGTGTAGTACTTGTACCTAAGATCGGAAGTTCAAATCCCATCTTGTGCATTAAGCGGGAGTGTAGTACTTGTTCCTAAGATCGAAAGTTCAAAATCCATCTTATGCTTTAAGCAGGAGTGTAGTACTTGTACTTAAGATCAGAAGTTCAAATCCCATCTTGTGCATTAAGCGAGAGCGTTCAAATCTCACATTGTGCATTAAGCGGGAGTGTAGTGCTTGTACCTAAAATCGCAAGTTCAAATTCCATCTTGTGCATTAAGCGGGAGCGTTCAAATCCCACCTTGTGCATTAAGCATGAGCGTAGTACTTCCATTTTTTCGTTATAAAATTTAAAGGATGTAGTGATGTACTTATCTAGTCTAGCCACCATACAAGTTTACTTGAATTTCTCCTTCCGCCTAGTGTACAGGAAGGTGTAGATTATTGTCAAAAAAAAAAAAAAAAAAACGGCGTACACATAGAGAATGCTTTGTGTTCTCAAGCCCACACAACTATCTAAGTTCTTGTTAAGTAGATTGTAGTTACCATTGGTCTTGAAATGGTCTTGGATTTTAGATTATAGTTACCATTGGCGTACACATAGAGATTGCTTGTTTCTTTTTCATTTTTTTTTGAACTGGTCTTGGATTTTTCCGTAGCCAAACTTTAATTTGGTATAAAATTAAAGCCACAAACTAGTAGAGAATTCTAAAATGTTAGTCATTATTCAATATGGGTGTAATTTGATGATAACTAAAACATGTGTTTAAAAAACTTTAAGCCTGGGTAGGTATTCACTAGAGTAAATTGTTAGATTGCAGTGTGTTATCCTTATTTAGATATCACAGGTGAGCAACCACATATGAATTATGAATGCACCAATTGTGCTGAGGGACAATTAACAGCGGTTTTTAAGGAAGAGGCCGGTATTGCTCCAAGAAATTGTGCAGATGGACAATCAATATTCCCATTCACCATTCTCATGAGGACATTTAAATAGACAAACAGATGAAGAGATTGTTCGGTATATTGATAGAGGTTCGTACGACATAATTTGTTCCACTTTGGGTGACTAGTTTGAGTTCGTTTTTCACACTAAAAAGTTTCAGGAATTGTTCGGTGAAACCCCAGTACAATAAATTTGCTGGATTCCTTCAAAATTCCTTTCAACCCATATGTTCGTTCAAGTATTGAAAGGATCAGCTAAACCAGTATAGCTAGCTAGATAGTCTCACTTGCAACTGTTTGGCAAGTCTATCAAACATATATAGTTTTCTAGTTTTTATTAAGTGCTTTTCTGAAACAAGTCTTTTAATTACTGCGTAATGCTCATTTTGACTCCGTTATAATGAAATTAACTTCAGAGTTCCTTCCCTCGTCTGTTTTGAATCAACCAGTCATGTAAATGAAACACAATATACGCACTCTGTAAATTTTAAAATTTGAACTACGTGGAATTAGTTAGATTAATTTTACTGTCAAAATGCCAGCCGGGAAGTAAAAAAAACTAGATCACAGTCCCTAACTTCTCTGATTTCTCGAAGTTAGGATCTGGACATGGTAGCAAAGTCAGGATTAGAAGCAACGTTGCATATACTACTATATATTACTCGAAGTTGGACGACCGGTTACAAGAAATCGCCGCCAAAAGGGAAGTTTCGGTATACAATTAATCAAAGACTCAACCAATTCGCCTTACCAGATTTGGTTAATCATAAGTTGCAGGTCTGGTTGCAGGTAAGGGATTCAAAATCTTATACTTATATTAAAATTCAAGAAGTGTATAGTAACATACTTCTTTGATTAAGAGATGGGATCCTGAATCTTTACCCCTTATAGCCTAGTTGAATTCTTCTGTAATATCGATTAGAGTAGAAATAATGTAGAATGACACTCAAAGAGTGTATAGTAGTGCACTCCCTTAATCCAGAGACAGAGATATTCTATCTCTAGCCCTCATGGTCTAGTTGGGCCTTACTGCCGATTAGAATCGGAAGAATTTAGATATCACCTATTGATTAAAAAGAAGAAAGTTATCTATCAAGACTCAAGACTAAGGGGATCAAACTTGGTCAGATGTAGTCAAACTTGGTCACAAAAGTCAAGGGTGAAAAGGGTATTTTTTTTGAGTATTTTTTAAATATTTTACTGTAACATTGTACATGAAAAAATTTTTACCGTAAATGATTTGGTATTTTTTATAGTGTTTTTGAGAGTATTTTTTAGGATGTATTTTGAAGTAGTTTTAGGATGTATCAAGGTGTTAAAATTTTAGTGACGTATTTTTAAAATTAAAAAAAAATTCAGCATTACCTACCACCACCTATCACCGCCCTCTCCCCCTACATCTCTCCTCCCCTTCCTCTCTTCTCCCCTCTCTCCTCGTCCCCCTCCCTCTTTCCTCCCTCCTTTCCCTTGCATCCTACTGGCCCTTTCTCCCCTATCTCTAGTTATGTTGGCTGTGACCAGCACAACCAAAGAGCTCTTTGGTCACACCACTCTCTGGTTGAGCCTCCACGCTCTCAAAGTGCTCTCTAGTGGTGCCAATTGCAATCAGATTTGGTCGCATTAGAGCTAAGGAGGAAGGAATGGTGGGATGCAAGGAAGAAAAGAGGAGAAGGAGGAGGGAGGAGAGAGAAAAAAAAAGAAGGAAAAGAGAAAGGAGAGATAAAGAGAAAAAAAAAAAGGAGGATGGCGACTGCCAGTGATGATAGCCACTAATGGTAGGTAGTGGTGAGTGATTATGGCATGTAGAGGAAGAAAGAATGCGAAGATTTATTTATATATTTATTAGTGCATTTGATTATGTTTTTGGAATTGTTTATGGAATTAGTGTGAGCTTTAAAAATAAAAATACGTATTTGATAAACACGCCAATACACCAATCCATACACACTAATATTTGACTTTTCATCAGTAAAACTGGAAATACATTATTATAAGTTCATTATTTTGTTTTTTATGTTTCAGCCCATCTATTTTTTTTTTTTTTGGCCATTATTTCTTCTCTGCTTTTTTCTCCTTTTACATCTTAACTAGTATTATTGTTGTTGCTGTTCTCATTGCCCCCTTCATTATTTGCGTTCCCCTCTCTATCATCACCAATATCATTTATAGCCTCCTCCTCCTCCTCAAGGTTGCCACTGTAATCACCACCATTCCCATAATGCTCGTTGTTGTTGTTGTTATTGTTGTCAATTGACTCATCACCATCATGATCTGGATTCTCTAAGTCACTACCATCATCATCATCATCCAAATCTTCATCAGAGGTGGTGTAGTAGTAGTCACTCTCACTACTACTGCTATCATCACTACTGTCGTCATCGTCGTCATCATCTCCTCCTTGGTGCTGCTGCTCTTCAACTCTTGGTCGACGGGGAAACCACATTTTTTGGTGGCTATTATGCCTTAAACAGGACATGGTATCTCGGCCGAGAAGAATCACCTCTTCCTCAGAAAAGGTGGCATCATTCATGTTAAGTTTATAGTAATTTAAATGCCTGGCTTCATTAAACAGGGACAAGCAAGAAATTGGTGGCGGAAACAATTTTGCGCCTCCATAATTCACTGATGGCATGGTATACATGAAATTTTCGTTGTAATCCAACCTCTCTTTTTTCAAAGGAGTTTCATGAATCATTTTTGATGCGGCTTCTTTGACAGATATTGCACGCATGCATGCAAATTGTTGATAATCTTGGTAGTACTTTTGAATTATGCAGAGAATGGGGAAGAAAACGCTGATAGCAGGTTGAAGCATTGCTGAAGTTTTAGGTGATCAGATGTATATTTATGTACTAGGCTGATGTAGAGGTGGATGGATATCCTTTCACTGGGGTTGGAAAAGAGTTTTGTTGGACGGTGGCTTGCATCAAGAGAGAAAAGTAACCGATGAGTTAGAAATCAGAATATGACAAATACCACCGTCACTAGCTATGGACTTTTTATAACAAACTAAAGCTCTATCTTGAATAATAAAAAACAGTGCTAAAAAGGAAACTATCAAAAGACAATAATAAATATTAACAAACAGTTGCCAATATATTAATTTATTAAAGCACAATAAAAGATTTTTTAATTTTTCCTAAACTTCTTCGAGCGCGCGTCGTTGTCCGAGTTTGAGTCGAGTTCGAGTTATTCGATTGAAACTTCGAGTCAAGTTCAAGTACAGATCTAGGAGACTCAAGGCTCGACAAGCTCTATCGAATTTTCCATCAAATATTTAATTATTATATTATTATTTTCCAAATTACTATTTTAGGTTTATTTGTTACAATTTTTTGCTATCATATATTTCAAAACTTTTTATCGAGCTCAATAAGGTCTGAAAATTTTTTGAGCCCTAACAAGTTGAACTCAAGCTTATAAAGAACTTCAATGAGTCGACCTTGAATTTAGCTTGAAATACTTGTTCAAACTCGAGCTCGAACTCGACTCGATATCACCCCCTATTTTAGCTCATTTTGATGGATCTAGACATAGCCACGGTTCCAAAATCATCAGTTCTGGTTTAAAAACTGACAATCTCAACTGATGGTTTCGGTTCTTCTAAAAAGTGGAACCCAAACCAAACCTTGTAGGGATGGTTATGGTTACAATTTTTGTACCTTTGATTCTGATTCGGCTTTGATTTCAATTTTATACCAATTACGGTTCTAAATTCTTTCAGTTACAGTTCTAGTTCTTTTAGTTATACTTAAACACTTATTGTTATAAAATTCAATTTAAGAAATTATGACAATGAATGTTAAAAAAAACTTTATTGTATTATCAGTGCAAGGAAAAAGTGAAAAATGATGCAAATTTTATTAAAAAAATATCGTACTATAGATTAAATTAGATGGGTCTTGGTTTTAGATTAGTTATAGGGTATAGACTTATTAATGGAATATTGACAGTGGGTTGTTGAACTAGAATTAGAGAGCTACTAGTACTACGTGTTGATTATTAATATTGAATTCTAAACTGATCAAATAAGTTTAAGTAGCAAATGATTTATTAGAAAGTTTGAAAAGTTCTAAATGGCTGAGTCAAAATTTTGATGAACTTGAACTTGAACCTTTAGTTACAATTATGGTTCCAATTCCGATTTCTAAAATCTAGTTCTGATTTTAGTTCAACAAACAATCGAGTTGATTCTGATTCAAATTTAAACTATGACCACCCTTGGTAAATCAGTTGTGTAGAGCATTTTTCTCATGGAACCTCTGAAATTGAACCATTCATTATTCTCAAAAAAAAAAAAAAAAACTTTGAGTGTAAATTAAGTGCTCTAGGTGAGCAAACTTTAGCATGCTTAGAAGCACATTCAACTAGACTAAGAATATTGAAAGCAATATGCACTTTACTTGTCTTGCGAATCAGGTACTTATTCGATTATGTTGAATTCTTCCTGGATATAAAATTGGATGTCACCTTGTCCCATGCCAGTTGATGGAAGAATGGGAAATATATCTTATGTACAGTTGCTATACTACTAGTTTTGTTTTTCAGAAGTGTATAACGTGAGTTCAAGAGTGTATTTGATAAATTTGAAATTTGAAATTTGAAATATGAATTTATTAAATTACTGAATTGTTCAATATTGAAATACTAACATTTGAGTTTATTCTACATTAAATGATAAATGAGCTCCTCCTTATTTATCTTTTAGAATAAGTTTAGCTTAACAATTCAAAGCCATTTTATTAATTAAGATGCTCTATTTTTAGTTATAAAAAACATTTGAACATAAATATGTTAATATCTTAATCTATTAATTTAAATTATTGAATTGGATTATGAAACAAAGTGTATCATCATTCTACAATCTAAACAAAATATGATCAAAACTACAAGTCCATTTTAACAATGGTAGAGTGAAATTTCAATGGTTTGTTGTTTTCTTGTTAAAAAAGGAAATCTATATCACTGACAAAATAAAAACCATATATATTTACAGCAAAACAAGTTTCATTTGCACAAATTTATTTGTCTGTAATGATTTTCATTTTTGGCATAGCATCACAGCAAGGCAAAGACATTTTTATCCTAAAAACTAATGGACTTTTGTTGTATCTCACCAATAGAAAAGGTCAAATTTACATTTGCTACTAGTCATGGTGCTAATGGTGATTTTTCTATACTTTAAGGGAATTTAGAACCTCCTATTTACAATCCCTTCAACTTAGCACCCAATCCAATCTCTCTCCCACCCTCAACTTTCCTTTATGTAGTTGGCAAATCTTTGTTTACTATTTTTTTCTTTTCTTCCTTTTTTTTTTTTTTTGGCTGTTCTGCTCTTCCTTTTTTAACCCTTTGCATTAATCTCCTTTACAACTTCCATCATATTTTTTTTTGTGTAGGCATCCGGTCCGAGTTATTCTAAAAAACCGGACAATTTAAAACTCGATCAAATCCAATCAAAAATCGGGTTTGACCGGGAAAAAACCGGAAGAACAGGTCCAGTCAAAGCTTTTTTTAAAAAAAGGTCAAACATTTTCAATATTATCTTTTGACCCCTAAATTGTTAAAAATTAGTAATATATCTCAAATATTTCATACTTTATAAATGTTGTCCTAAAATTTGATATTAGTTTTTAATTAAGTCCATAATTTTAATTCTAAACTTGTTAATGTTCATTAAATAGTATAAATTGCTACTTGATTGTTCTAATTTCTTTGTTTTTTCTTGTTAAATATATATTTAAAACATCAAATATATATGAATATACCTTTATTAATATTAACATGCTCTTAGGTATTTTATCTATAATATTTTAATTTTTAAATAATTTTTATTTATGACAACATCTGGTTCCACCCCTATCGAATCCGGCCAAACCCATTGACCCCCTAATCCCTGAGCTCAACCGAATCAATGCCTGGTCCAAGTCTGAAAACATAGATTTTTTTTCTCCTTCACTTCCTAGAGCAATACCATATCTTTGCAAATTCATTTTTCCTGATAAATACAAATCAAGAGTGGTTGGAATTGATGAAAAGTAGTCAGCAAAAGATAAGCAAGCAGTAAGCTGAACGACCATAATTATTGCACTTCTCAACAGATTCCAAACCGAGGAGCAGATTATATCCATATATATCCTCAGCAAATTGATTGCAAACGGATTTAAAACTAATTTTTTTGGTATTAAATATTTTTCATTGCTGGCCCGAGATTTAGAGGCTCCTGTCATTAAACAGCAAATATGCAAGTCATAATTTGCTTTCCATATTGCTAAAGGGTCCACTTGAATTTATGGTACTTACCCTATTAGCTTGTGAGTAATGATGACTAAGGAGTAAGGAGTTATGAAGTATTAATTCTTGAATTAAGTGACACTTAAATTGTTGCTAAAATCATAGGAAATAAGTAGGTAATATCTTTTTACCATGGTAAGTGTTTTTTCACCTTTGTTGTTTTCCTTGTGATTTCCACCTACTTGGCATCAAAAAAATGTTTCTTCTTTTGTTATTGACATTTTAAGTTTAATATCATAATGAATAGATCCTGGCCTTTAGCTTTCATCATTGTTTTACATGAACCGTGTAGATGAAATGAATAATAAGTGACTCTTTTGCCAAAGAATCCTTCAATTTGTTTGTACCAAACTTGCTTCTTGTTGGACAAAAATTATCGCTGTAAAGATAAATTTCTTGAGAAGTTATTAGTTTGATACAAGTGCTTTTATTTATTTTTTTTACGCAGAAAGTCTTAAACTAGAAGCTCTTACCTACAAGTCCGTTGACCTTATCCTCCAAGTCAACTCTTCGCGAACTTAATACAAGCTCTCAAAATGCTCAAATTGTAAATTTAGAGCCACCCATGATTATCCTTACCAGGAAAAAAGAAAAAGCTCTAATTGTCAAGTTGTTATGTCTTGGGCTTTTCGGGCCTGTTCTATGGGCAACGTAACATTTTTTGGTACTTGTGCGAGAGATGCATGCGAGTCCTAGGTAGACAAAAATGATGGGTCACAAATATCTCGAGTACAACAACTTTGAGCCCAAAATGAAACTTGATCGTTACCACCTGCCCTTTTACCGTACAACATCTGCCAGAAATCCCCGAAACCCCATTAGAGGCCTGACGGCCAGAGGCTGTGGGCTGATATGGAAAGTCCTTTGTTCCTTTAAACCAAAAAAAAAAAGGAAAAGAGAAAAAAAAAAGTATCACGGTATTAAATTTGTATTGCCAAAAAAGAAAAAAAGAAAAAAGGATCTACTAGCTTTTTTCAAATTATCCTCGAGAAATAGCAGAGGCGGACGCAGAATGCATCTTGAATGTAATTTTAGATTAGCAACTTTGTGCTTAATTTCAACTTAGAATGTTTTATTTAATCCAATTCATCTATGTGAAATGTACATTAACCAATATGACGTGGAAATAGAATAGATTTAACCAGTAGGAATAGCAAAAAAAAAAAAAAAAAATTAAATGCATGGTTCAAATTCTTCGCTTATGACTTAATCAAAGCTCGGCAAATATTCCCACGTTTACTTCATTCAGCATCATTTGATTCAAATTTGGTAGTCCCCACTTTAGAACGTTGCTTTAAATAAGGTTTGCGGGTGTCCTTTCATGATTCATCACTTGAGGTTTACGTGTGGACATTGGGCTTATATGGATGGTAAAATTCTCAATATCATATTTGGTTGTTTTTCAAGTCTCGTAGATTTGGTTAATGTGCATGGAACAGCAAGACGAATCAATGCTTGGCTTCATAAATCATCATCATTATTTTGTAAATACAACATCGGCCAAAAAAAAAAAAAAAAAGA